CAGAGGTGATAGATCGGATGGCGTTTCATCAGGGAAGGTTGGATTTGGTCTTGCACAGGTTATACTGATTGCTTTATTATTAATTCTTATAAAATTACTGTCATCTGTAACATCGTCTCTGGAATATTGCTTAAATTAGTATATTTAAACTTTCACTTATGTAGTCAGATCATTAAAGACGTTTTCATCCATTATTTACAAATATATTTAACCCTATTTATTATTTGTTCTAATAACCATTGTTATAAGTAAGCATCTCTCCTAACAAGTTTCAGCAATTTTTAAATGCTATTGCTGCATTGATACTGTTAAGCTATCTGATGATAAGCGATTGTTTATTTTATGTATCTCGTGTTTCTATTATATTCATTTATCATATATATATATAACTTGTCGATTCTTGCGTAAAGTTTACCTTTACCCTTATTATATATATTTTTGTACATATCTGATTGGAATGCCTTTCTTATTTCTTCCCTCTTACTCTTTTTGAATCTCATCATATGCGCTTAGGCTATTATTTGTTTTTCTATGTTTTGCATTCGTTGCCTTTCAATTTGATGTAATTGGCTTTATTTAAAACATGTAATCTCAATTAAATGCAAAACAATACTCCTAATAGGAAGTATGAAGACCAAGATTGTAAGGTATTTTGTGTGGTCGCAGTCTCCTTTCGTCATATAGAGGTTGTTTGACCTTGTTTTTACAACTTTTCTACTTTTGCGAAAACAAGGTCAAACAACCTCAATACTTTTAATAGTTCATGTTCGTCAATTACAACGTTGTATATCCCGTTCATCTGCTTGACTATTACATCCTGAATTGATTCATAATTATCCTGCATTCCATCCATCTATTATATTATTCAAATCATTTAAGCTAGATTTATATACACCCTCGTTATCCATAGTTACCCTATCATGAAATTATTGCCCTTCATTGAATGTTGTAGTCAAATAGCAATTTCCTTTTAGTCTTGTAATTAAAAGTATTTACTTTTGTTTTTTTTATTTTTAAGAGAAAATGGGCAAATCTTTCCATAGATCAGCCTATCACAATTCAGCCCAAAATATTCAATATGGCTACAGCTTGTCTTTCTTCGGCTGTTCTTGCCGTTGATTTTCATAATAAAAAACTGTGAGAGATTTTTAAAAAGTATATTGATGATATCATATTTATTTGTTATCACATGAGGCCTTTTTTGGTAGCTTTTTTTTATTTTGGCTTTTAGGCAAAAGCAAAAAGTATAGCGATATTTGATTTTGATATATAATAGCCTCCTCTGTCTGGACTTGTTCTTTATGTTTACAGGGGAAAAAATGTGGAGGAAATTTCTTGACTGCCTTCCTAAGCTCCTCGACAGTTCATTAATAATCTGACCATTAACTAAATACTTTTGCTAGATTTTCATCTGGCATAACGCTCAACCTCAGTGAGCATATCTATGCTTAGTACCAACTTTTTTATGCTGACTATTTATCGTTCGCTAAGGGATACTTTTTTCACTGATTCTATCTACTTTTATACTGTATTACTTTATATTAATGCAATTAATGTACAAATCATGTTCTCTACAATATCTCTAAGCATGAGTAAGTTAGAAGTACTTCGGTTGTACCGATAAAGCACGGCTCATACGCTTCCCTGTTATTAATATATTTTTAAAAAATTCACGTTCCTATTTTTATTATTTTTAAGCACGGCTAATGATCCATTCGACTCTGACAAAATGGCAGTTGAGTTCAATATGCAATTCGCTGACACGCCTCTCTCTGTCGGGCAGTCACTTCTGTTTAAGTTCTCTGGCAAAATTTTCATCGTTGAAGTCAGAAGGCTTGCGCGTATGTAATTTTTCATTTATTATTTTTACTAATCAGGCTTTATTTCTCTATCCAGTTGGCAAACTAAGATTACTTGAGTTGTGTTTCATCAAAAAGAATAATTGAGATCAAAACTTTCACTTCTTTGACTTAACTAATAAATGTTTATTAACAAAGGATTTTCCTGAGAATGGTCATTAGAAGAATTGAAATACTTGTTTTTTAAGCGATTATGGAGTTGTTAATCATCTCCTAAGTCGATTTATTTATCAGATTGTGTCAATTTACCTTAGCAATCGTTTAAAGGCGTTGGCTTAAAAATTAAGCCTATATCAGAGTCAAAATTTAAATGAAAGATATATTGAGAAAATCCCCGTGTTCTTAAGGAATTGCTGAAATGTTGAGCCTATTTCAAACTATCCAAAATGATAACTAAGGAATCTTTATTTAATGCCTATTATTTTTCAATTTGTTTTTTAGCTTTAATGCTCAGTGGAGGCGATTCAGATGTTAAGGTATTTCACACATTTCAATTTTTAACAATAATATATTTTATA